TATCCAAGCTAGCTTAAATAGTTACAAACATCACTTGTCAAGTTTTTACATCTTCCTGACATTTTGCACTTGCTATCTGGAGCGACCGGCCTGTGGTCATCAAATATTTCTGGAAATCCGTCTCTTGAATTTCGTATATACAATATGTTGTGGTATCATCCCAAGATCATAAATATAATTTGAGAGAAAAACAAGTTTCTATTACTCACAAGAATAAAAACAAGAGATTTACAAACTCTAAACAAAAAACTCTCAAACACTCCACAACTCTTTCTTGGTTGTGTTTCAACTCTCTCTAGGTTGATTGATCACTCAAGGATGATTTGGATGATAAAATGAGCACTCTATTTATAGATACAAGAAGCACACCATTGTTGACAAATGGTGTGTGTGAATGGTGAAGGTTTGGTGGAGACATCCATTGAAGAGTTCTTCCTTGGTGGGCTTGAATCTTCTTCATGTGTGTGCTTTTCAACTTGCCCCTCAACTTTTCAGTCATGAAAAGTTGGGATATATTTGCAACATTCCGAAAGTAGAGGGATGAAATTTTATGATATGGCACGACTATAGAAGAAATAGATTAAATTAATCGCACAAAAAGGGAAATGAAAAAACAAAAAAAAAAAGAGGTACCTTGTTGTCTCAGCGTTTAACCGGCGATAAAGACGAAGAGTTAAAAGGAGCAATTATGCGGACAAGCTCTGTACTCAGGCGAACGGTTTCAAGAAAACGATGAGGGAAAGGATTAATCGAAATTATGGTAGCTTAATATAACTGAGGTGTACAGTAGGAATAGAAATAGGAATATGAGTAGAAAAGCAAAAAAAACAAATACCAAACCGAGCGTTTGGGGCGATGATGACGAATAAAACAAAACACAATATACACATTTACAGAGTTTAACCGGGCCGGGCCCGCTAGAATAATCCGTAGTTGGTGAAAATATGTGACTTAATAGATCGAGATACCCCTAATTTAAGAGGTCGTGTCAAAAGCTGAAGGTAGCACCTCCTTTATATTGATATAAGAGAATAAGATAAAACATACGTAAATAAAAAAATATCAAAAAAGATATAAATTACTAGTGTATATAAACACCAAAACAAGAAGTATACCTTCTCCATCAAGCAAATTTGCTTCATTTAGCCTCCATTAGACCACTGGCCATCAACATCTTTTGATTCATTTTTGTAGAACTTTTAGTTGATGCGAGGTGATCAATGGATGAAGAAAATAAAATACT